GGGGAGGAGGGGAGGGGGGGAGGAGGAGGAGGAGGGGGGAAGAGGGGAAAGGGGGGGCTGTTGCCTTACTGTTGCCTCAGACAGGCACCTTTGTTTCTGAAAAAAAAAGATCCACCCATAACTGTTAATTGGTTACCTTTGCCTCACACGACCATCTGGTGTTACGGGAAGACACAGACCCATAACTTTTTGTTGGTTTTAGGTCCTAGGCAGTCCGGTCCAGTAGGTTAGAGTAGCGCTATAAATAGAATGGGTCGGCGCGGCTTTAGGGTCTTCGAGTGAGCACTTGTTTAGAGCTCTTGAATAACGCCGCCGTGCTGCTGGGGCAACGCTGTAGCTGGGAAGCCACTGCTTCCGGTAGGGTTTCGGCCCACAGCAGTGAAGCAGGTGCGTATTTTATTTTATTTAAAAATTTTATAGCGTTTCTGTGCTGTGGGGTTAGGCGCTCGCATATCTTCTTCTTTGTGGCAGTTCTTTTCCTTCTTCTTCAAGGCGGAGGTTCCTTGTCATCCTGGTGCTGATGCTGGTTGTACTGGGAAGTCTCTGGCACAGCGTTGGAGCATCGGAGTGAGTTCTGAATGGCGGTGGTCCTGCGGCGACAGGAGAGTGGAGGTGCTGGTGATCCGCAGAGCAGTGAGGCTGGACGCTGTGAAATTGGGCAATGAGCCATAGCTGGCTATGGAGTGGAGGTGCTGGTGGTCTGTGGAGTAGTGAGGCTGGGAGCTGTGAAATTGGGCTGTGCACCATAGCCGGCTATGGAAGTTGAGTTGGAGGGAGGAGGAAGACTCCGGAGACTTTATGGATCTGTGTTCTGAGTTTGTTCACGCTGGTTTACTCTCGGTTGTGATCCTTGGTTTCTTTGGGAATAGGATTGTTCTGCCAGAGCGTGGTGAAAGACTTTGAAATTGGAATTGATACCAGTCAATTCTTCTTGGTTACTGGACTTCCGCTGTGCATCTCTTAATCTGGTGTGGTGTGAATTCCTCTTGTCATCCTGGCATGTTTATGGGGCCATGTTGATAGTACGTGATGCGATACTCTGCTGGGTAACGTTCTCAATCGGTCACATATCATGAACACTTAAAAATTGAAAGGGGGGGAGGAGGGGGAGGGAGGGAAGGGGGGCGGGGGAGGGGAGGAAAAGACCTTGAAAAAAGCTGAAAAAGAGTAAGGAGTCAGGACAGGACAGGAAAAAAAGCAGTTTGAAGTTTGAAGGGGGTCTCATACCAGGCCCTTGGCAAGGTGACAAGGCAAAGTCGCACCCTTCGTGGTAACCAAATCTCAAGAACCCAGCCTTGGTGTAATCCACTGTGTACCTGGTCCAAAATAGCAGGAAAGTACATAATACTACGAGTTCAACCACTGTTTTCTGTGCGAAAGGAACTTTTTTTTGTTTGTTTGTTTAATAACAACAAGTGAACCTTAGGGTTCTGGCTCCTTCGCCATTCAGGCGAGCACCAGTCGGTTCCTTTTCCACTGGCAAGTTGGAAAGGATTACAATAGTTACTCACTCACGCTCCTCCCCCTTATGGTGTGGAGGCCCAAAGGACAGCTGCTGCATTGATTACTTCCCGTTGTTCCCGAAGAAGAAGGATGTGCTACCCTTCACCCCTGCCTAAGTTAGCCTGTGCTCTATTGGGATTCTGCTTCTGCTCCTCCGCTGTCAGATTTTCCATACTCGCTAGAACTGTTGGGTAGGCACTTTTTTCCCCGTAATCATCTTAACCTCTGCACCTTGTCCACTTGAATTGCTGCAAACTTTGCTAAAGCCCTGGGCCGTCTCTACTATTGTGGTTGTTTACTATTGTTCTAGCTACTACCTTGAACCTTCGCTATCCTGGGTCTGGGTTGCTCGTTCTCAGTGTCCTTTGCCTGTTAATCTAACCCTTGATCCCTAACCAATTGGTCCCAAGTCTTTCTAGGCCTTGGTTCCTCGAGAAGTCTTATCTTAAGGGTCGGTGTCGGAGGGCGCGGACACGCGTCCGCAATGTGCCAGGCGTCTGCTCACATACCCTACAGAGCGCCGGGCCTTTTAGACACCTGGCAGGCTCGGTGCTGTTGTGCTGTGACCGGGTCCACTTCAGGGATGGGCTGTGAAAAGACTAGGGTGGTGCGCTCTGAGGCCTTCACTAATCAGGTTACGGTATGTATGCAGTATGCTGCAGACGCTGTCTAGGCAAGGAAAAGAGGACTGAGGGAGGAAAGGCCCACCCTCAGCGGGCACTAGGCATACACTGTTTCTCGACGCCCATTTAGTACCAGGCGCGTCCGCCTCTCAGTAGTGTGTCAAACTCGTCAAGGCCAGTTCCTGGGTTGGTCCAATAAGCGCTCCAACAGGGAAAGGGGTGGGTGCGCCACTGGAACTCGCCATCGGCTCGCTCAGGGTCGGCGCTCTGCTGTACTGCAGAGCTCTACCGGTCTGTGGTCACCGTTGTCCAGGGATGTGAGGGTAGCGGGGTCGGTGCGGTGTTCTCTACTGCGCACCGATCCGCTTTTGCCAAGATTAAGGGAAATGTGCATAAGCCAGGAGGTCGTAGTCAAGTTAGGAGTGAAAAGCAAGAAAAAGAAAAGGAAAATTTAAAAAGAAAGAAAAGGGGAAACAAGGAAAAGTCACGTCGTGAGCCTGCACTCTGAATCGAATCGTTACTTTCGTATGGATTATCTAAGTGTCGCCGGGCTGCAGCAGCGCTATGTTTTCCTTCTTTCCTATACTCTCTTCTTATTATTGTTATCATTACTATTGTTATCGTAGTTATTAGTCGTCTTTTGAGCCTTGATCCCTTTTGTCATTTTGCGGGGGACGAACAGTTTTGTTTTTCGAAATGGGCAATAGCTTATGGGTGGCCTAGTCCAGTTGACCTTTCCGCTTCAGCCATCGTGAGTTTGACTGGTAAGCTGTGATAGGTATCGAGCCCAAAAAGGGAGCACCCGTGGCCACGTCGGTAGGAGGCTCATCACCCCGCAGAGGGTCATGAGTCCCCTTCTTGCCATCGGACACGGGTACCCGCCAGGGGCAGTCCGTTGGTCTTCTTTTAAAGAAGGGGGGTGGCCGTCGGTATCCCGTTATGGGACCATCGTGCCGAGCCAACGGGTCACTTCACTTCAAAGATGACGGTTGGGGTTCTGCCCCTCATTTTCCTTTTCTTCGTTTTATTTGCCTTACTAAATTCTGAAAAGCAATTCTTTTTTTTTTTTTTACAGAATCTGAAAAGGGGTATTTGAGTCCCTCGTTCAGAGCAGGGGGTTTATCGCGAAAAACATCGATCCTATAAAAGATGAGGGAGACGAGTCTTCAACTACTTGTGCATAGGCAGCTCCGTTATGTTGAGCACGGGAGCGGTGAAGCGAGCGAGCGAGTTCGTCTGTGTCCGCATGCTCTGAGTGTTCAGTCCTGGCTAATTCGAAACCAGCGGCCTGGTATCATACGGCCTGTTCGAAAAAGGTTCGACCATGGTGCGCAGCAATGGGCTGTATGGCTATAGGCCAAGGTACCTCCAGTTCCTTTGGAGGTGGGAGGGATGTCTGGAGACGGGCCTGTGGTGACAGTCGTCCTGGACTACAGCCGCTGTAATCAGGAGACTGGGCTCAAAATAAACGTGGAAAGGGGGAAGGAAGAGGAGATGAGAGCGGATCAGGGCCTGCAGTTGGCTATCACGGAAGCCAAGGACCGGGCCAAGAGGAGATGTAGACGACGCGGGGTCACAGACGAAATCAAGGTGACCGTCTCGTACCTGGAGGGAGAGACCTTGACGGACACTGCAGAGAGGGAACAGTGGCACCTAGACCGCGACACGAAAGCAGAGGGTGAGGAGAGTGACCGGCAAGTCCGGACACAGTCCTGGCATGGACTGGACCAGTGGCGGCGGGATCACCCACCCGCGGAATCTGTGGAAAGTGGCCCAGAGGCCAACTCGCGACGACGAAAAGACCAGGGGCGCTAGGCTGCGGGACGGGAAGTCAACTCGCGAGGGCAGAAGAACTGAAGGGTGAGCGGTTACGAGAGTGAGAGAGAGACACAGGCAATTACGATCGAGCGGGGGGACGAGAGAGAAATGCGCACGGCCTTCCCCTTCTGGGAGTCCATGATCAGCATCAAGCATTCTCCATAAGGGTTCAAGTGTGACTAGCTTCACAATGTACTGGTTATTGAGGGTGTGAAGAATGGTTTTATAGGAGGAGATCACAGAAGAGGATATACCGAAAAGGGGGACTATGCGAGAAGGACATGGGCAGAGAGAGAGAGGGAGAGAGAGAGAGAGAACGCAAAGAGCGGACACAAGAGTCAGGCGCGCGGGGAAGGGCAGTCTCGCAGTCGAGTGCATCGGTCCCGCGCAGGGTCGGGATCCTCCCGACCGCGTCACGCAGGAGTCGGTCTACCTCATCGGGATACACATGGAGCTTCCGCAAGCTGCTTCGACCGAGTGCGCCAGCCATACCTCTCGCGAGCCCCTACGACAGGATAGGGCCAAAGAGAGGTACAACTTACCTCCACCTGAGGGAGTTGTCACCTCCCTTCGGTGGGTGTATCCCCGTCGAGCTACCAGTCCACAGTACGAAACGTAATCAATTGCAATCGCAGAGGTGGATCAACCGAGGGTGTTTCTCGTTCGCTGTAGCATAGGGGGTACGCGTGGTCTTACGCCTTTATCGGACCCGCACGCGAACCGACGCACTGGGGCGTTGAAGTTCCAAACGCGACTCGTCGTCGGTCGACTAGGACGCATCCCACATACCACGCGTTACATCACTCTTAAAACAAAAAAATGAAACACACACACGAAACGATACAAGACAAAACAACACAAACTATCCTTGTCCCTTCGGTAGTCATCCCATAACCTTCCAACGCGGAAATCGCATAGGCGACACGCGTGAGACTTAATATAAAACCGCGCGGACGCAGGGCCTTTTCATATCGACTAGCAATGCATGAATATGCAAGCAGTCGCAATGATGACGTACTATGTAGTGTCCATAATTAAGCGGTTCTTCATAAATCTAAGTACCGCTTATGACACTCAAGTGTCAATCTTGAAGTATCGTGAGGGTCGAACCCTTCACGATATTGCACGCCTGAAGGAACAACCATTCGGCCCCCGCGGCACCTCCGGCCCTTAGGCTGAGTGTTCCGGTGGGCAGGGCAAATAGGTTTTGCGCGGGGGGTGATCCCTTCCGCGGAGAGCTTAGGACCTGGGATGTCCTGGACAAGGACCTCGAATCCAGGCCCAAGACCAACGTCCGACCAAGAAACTTTAAAAAGCAAAAATGGTAAAAGAGGGGAGTCTCCTTTCCTCTTTCAATCTCGGCCTCAATTAAACCCTTAAGTGTGGGCACTATAGGTCACGCGAACACTCAAGTATAGGTATGTACATATATAAATGAGGGTTATTTGAAATAGGACGATCACTTCTCACAGTCACAGTGGGGCTCCTCTCAACCATATGTATGTGTGTAATCACAAATAGTCAAATCCAAAGTCCGAACCACAAACATATCTGCAATCACATCAAGGAATCAACCAAAAGTCCACACACTACACAGAGTCAACTTCAACCCAACTCTATACTCATGCCACTTGCTTTAGCCATGCATGCCCCAACCTTTATCCAACCTTCCAAAATAAATACTCAGTACCTTTGTTAAATGGTCATTCAATAAAAGTCCGGGTGAAAACCTTGATAAAACAATAAAACCACCAAGGCTAAAGCTTTTTAGGTTGGGTAACGAGAATGGATTGAAGTTGAGTCGTAGATCGACGAATCGGCAACCGACTTACTATCAGTGATAACAAAAGAAGATCCTCGTGAGATCAAGCCGAATCTAGCCCAATCTTGAGTCAGAATGATCAAATGGATCTGTACCATAAGACAGGTCAATGCCCAAGCTAAATCATCAGTGTATGGGGAATAAATCTCCATAGCACATTCTTACTCAAAGTTGTTTGCCAACTAAGTCTAAGTCTACCCCTAAGGCAGTGTCCAAAGAAAGGTAGACCTTTGGCAGAATCCCCTGCATACAGAGTGGATTGTCAGTATTACCACGTATCAAATTATAACTTATCTCCTCTAAATTAAGAAAATTTCAGCGGCGCTTCCCGTAGGAAAAGTGCTTCTTAGATATGCAAACTAAAACAATATCTAACTTTGAAAAGTCAAAATTTGTCTAACTCCCTGAATTAATAAAAATTTTGGTAGCATCTCCTTTAGAAAAGTAGACTTTCCAAATTTATACTAAGTCAGATAAAAACTCAAAATAAGACTTGAGTTCAACCAAGACAAAATTTAACTAACTCCTTAAATTTGTAAAAATTTCGGCAGCGCTTCCCGTAGAGAAAGTAGGTTTCCAAAATTTATACAAAGCTTAGTCTAAAAATCTAAAAATAACTTTGACTTCCCAAAGTCCAATTTTATCTAACTTCCTGAATTAGTAAAAATTTGGGCAACACTCCCTTTAGAAAATGAGACTTTCTAGATTTTTACTAAACCATATATAAAATTTAGACAAGTTGAACTTTGAAAATTCAAATTCTGACTAACTCCTTGATTTTGTAAAAATGTCGGCAGCGCTTCCCGTAGAGAAAGTGACTTACCAAGATTTATACAAGACCAAGTATAACAAAAGATCCCAGAAAATGCAGAAATTGACCTAAGTAAAATAAACTTAGCTAAAAAAATGCAGGAATTGAAACTAACTCCTATGGCTCTAGCACGTAACGAACAACTAAAGCAACTATCAAAAAATGCAGGAATTGAAACTAACTCCTATGACTCTAGCACGTAACGAACAACTAAAGCAACTACCTATCAAAGTGAAACTCAGACTAAGTAGTGATCTCACTTAATCACATACAAGGCCAAACCACATTGGTAAGTACTCTCACCACTCCTCAAGTCAAATCCTCATAGATTAGTTTGTGAAACCCTCAGATGATTTATCCCTTATACCCAACTTACATATGGCATGGTGCTAGACCATTTAACTTAGAAATAAAATATACACGAACAGATTGCGCAACTACTTCTCTCTTCTTTGGGCATATGACTAGACCATTCAACTTAGAAACACTGTCTAGTCGCCCTGAACTGTTTTAATATCCAAAATTTAATAATTTTCTGACTTTGTTCTAAAAAAGAAAAGAAAATATGGGCAGGGGACTGAGCCATTTAGCTTAGAAACAATGCTCAGCTTGCCCAGATTACCTCCAATTATATTCTGCGGTTTTCCTTCTCTTCTTAGTGATATGGCTTAGCGCTGAATCATTCAACTTAGAAAATAATGTCCAGTTGTCAGTTCACATGCAATTTATAAATAAAATATTTTTTGTTATACGCAGTTTATACTTATGTGTGTGGCTTCAGGCGAAACCATTCAGCTTAGAAACAATGCTTAGCCTTAGACCAAAAACTCTCCTTCAAAAATAAAACGAGAGGCTGAACCATTCAGCTTAGAAACAATGTTCAGCCTATCCTGAAAACCATTCAAAGTATGAAGTTGGATCCCTTAGCCCAACTTCAGTGAGAAACCCCAAAAAACAACAGACAAACGAAGCCATTCACTTAGAAACAACGCTTGGTTCCAAAGAGCAGCCAGGAAAACCCTCAAAAATAAACATAGCAACCAGGCCATTCAACTTAGAAACAATGTCTGGTCCTTCAGAAAACAACCAAATAAACATAGCGCTGGGCCATTCTGCTTAGAAACAATGCCCAATCCTTGATTGACCCGGTCAAACTCATGCAAAACTTCCTTCCTCCCACCTTCCCCATGTTCATCCCTTAATCTGCTTTGAGTCCGAATAAAGAAGAGACTTAAGCTTTTCACGCATGTTCCTTGCATTTAGTCTGATTAGGTCCTGAAAAGACAGCAAAGTCATAAGGGAACACATATATACAACAGTCAAACTAGAGGGAGATAGTCAAACAGGGGTGTAGTGGGTTCATACAGGTAGAAAAGTATACCTGTTAGTTCTCTACCTCCAGAACTTCGCCTAGGTTCCGGCAGAGCTCCCGCAATCAGTGGGCGGACTCCCCACAAAGCCTTGATGCGGTCCTACGGGTTGCAATCCCACCTGCCGTCTTCCTCTCAGAACCAATAGACTAGACTTAGAGTAAGAAGGGCAGAAGAAGAAAGCATTAAGTCTCTCAGATCCAGGAGAGGTGCTCTCAGACTCGCACAAAAGGGCCTTGATTCCTTGATTCGGCTGAGGGCCCCGCAATAGTGGCCAAATCGTAGCAAGAACCGCCGAACCTCAGTCAGATGCCACAAAGATGGCCAAAAGGATGGTCAATGAGAAAGGTAACTTCTCCCAGACGATCCTTCAAGTCGTAGCGATGACCCCCTTCTAAACGACTCAATCACTCCGTCGTGTTCGTCAACCTGAAACGCACTGGCCGCAACTCAGGATACGGGCCGAGGTTAAGATCACAGCCCCCTCCACCTCTGAAGTGACCCAATAACTGGATATGGATGGCTATGCAGGTGCAACACGTCAACCAACAATTAAGTTTGCACTTCTGTTGCTGGCTTCTCGCTGCCCTCGCTCCAATGGAATTGTTCGGTGCCCTCAGTAATGTACAAGGCGAAAACACAGCAAGAGCTACAATGCGTAACACAACAAGAATTCAGTGTGCTCAGCTCAGGCACAGTAGTTGCATCACGAGACAATGTCGGACAGTTGGCAAACAACGGTGGAGTCTAACAATAGCAACAAGTCAGCAAAAGTTGTGCAACAGTCGTTCCCCCTCTTTTCAACACTTCAACTTCGACCCTACAGTCAGTTGAACGCAGGTCGTGGCCACTAACAACAAATACCGGGGTGTATGTC